CGTGAAAACTGTCCATATTTTGATGTCATGATATGTAAATTAAAAATTGTTATTTTACGGTGATAATCCTTTTTTCTTGTGCCCAATAATGCATAATTTCATTTGATAAACACGTTTAGATTGAATGGTAATTTATAATCAGTCACAAGAACGTCGAATCTGAATCACTTGAAAAAAACACGGGGGTGCTTAACTTTTTTCCAGGTGTATATTTAATAAGTTATTCTAAAATTTGAAAAACTTTCTTTATATTTTAAACTTTTGAAGAACTGCAAAAATTTCAAGTATCTTGTTATCGATTTTTAATTTATATTAAAATTCCTACAGCTAAAAAAAATATATTTTAAACATTCCCACTGAATACACCAATCAAACCCCTAGGAAGCTGTAATGGTGTAAAATGTAAGTTTTCTTTTATTTGAAGTAACAGGTCTTGTTTTATTATTACTAAACTATTGCCAGATTTAAAGTCAGTCTTAATCTGTTTATGAAAAAACATGATTAAATCACATTAATAAACAGGGAAGCTGGCAAGAATTGAAAAAAAAGTAAACCAGTTAATTACTTATTATAAATAGATAGCTTGTGTTTCTTGATTTGCTGATACTTGTATATTTCATGATATAAAAGTTTTTATTATTAAAATTACTACCAGCCAATAATAGCTTTGTTAAAATTTTCAATTGATTAAATCTTCTTTAAAGATCAGGAAAAACCTTTCATCAAGTAAAATTTGTGAAACTATGATGTTATTTGTGTACAAGCACAATTGTAAGAACTTAATACATATAAACATAATCAAGATAAATTATAGGTTTTCATATTTCAATCGTAGTTAATGAAATCAAACTGTAGAAACAATTTTGTGCAAACAATGCCTTTAATGTCTAAAAATTAAAAATCTAATTAGAGCCTTCAAAAATGCATACAATAACCCCAATTTCTGATGCTGTAAAACATTTCTTGTTATCATTGCTTTACTTTGATCGAAATATATTTCACGTGAATGCTTTATTTTAATATCGGTAACATTTTTCTTTTGTTTGCCCATTAATCAAGTATTATTCAGGATTTTAACTTTCAAAATTTTTCATTATATGGAATGCCTGCTTCTATAAGTTAAAATTATGAAGTTTTTATTTTAACTTCTGTTACTGCATTATAAACACAGAAAAATAAATCTGAGTTATTTCATTATATATAAAAAAATAGTCTGCAAAGAAAATTTCGTTAAACAGAGTTTAAGTTGTCAAATAATACTACAAGTTGCACACAATAATATATATTCACTTACTACATAAGCTTTAACAAAGGTGATTGCAACTAGCTTATTCTAAATTATTTCTTAGCTCTTCATTCATAAAGGTTTGTGCCTTCTAACTGTCGTTCGATATTCTACCTAATAACCAAGTTTTTGTTCTAAGCTTCCACGCTTATTTATTTGAAAGGTACTTTATCATTTATTGAAGTTTATGGCTATCAAAATTTGCATTTGAATGCAAAATATACTGATTGAATGATGAGAGAATAAAATTAAAACTTTTATATCTTGAGTTCTGCTCCTGAAAGTAGAAAAACGTGAACCAATAGCATACATTCTGCTTACATCTTACATAGCGTACAGCTACAGAGAACCTACGTGGCATAGAAACATGTACGCATGTTGACAAAGTTGCACTCAATAAATAACTTGTGCCTTTCATACCATTTTAAATAATGAACAGATCATTATAAAAAGTTTCAATTTTTGTTTTCTATTGTATTAAAATAAAGCAAAATAATTTCACTTTGAAAATTATTTAATCACTCATGATAACATTGAACAACAACAGAATCTGAAAGAATAATGTGTAACTAAATCTACTCTTTATGGCAAACGAATGGAAAAAAACAGTCTTCAAACAATGCTAAGTATCTAAAAAGAGTTCAATTTTCTAACAAGATATCTTTAAAATCCAAGTTAATCTATATAGATTTCAGTGAGAGAGAGGAACACATCAATCATCGAACTATGATGACCAACTAACCATTGATTCTAGCCTCAGATTTACTGAACTCTTATGAGTTGCTTGTTGTAAACCTCAGAAAATGAATCAAAAACATTGTACAGTGTAACAACAACTGGTAAGTAGTTGATTAAAAACTAACAGAAATCTTTAAATTTATGGAATTCAAATGTTTCATCTTTTGAATATGTAGTACATTGTATCAGAATTTATACGGATTTTAATTTTGTATATCTGATTACAAAGAAAAGAGAAAAAAATTCATAATAATACCAATTATTCAATACATTCTACAACAAATACTTTTCACACAAATACTAAATCATAATGCTAACTTGCTTTAGGAATTCCAGTTGTAAATCAAGCATCAAAACGACCACTATGGTTATACAAACAATTTGTGCCCTAGTAAATACAAATAACCTTATTACGCACCTTATTACACGAATCTTAAAAATATTTTACTACTGAGTTTCAAAAGATTTGTATCCACTCAAGTGCAATTCTCTCACAAAGAACATTCGCAGTTTTCATTGTTCATGACTGTGAAAGTTGTAACATTATACTTTAGCAAAATTTCAAAAATAATTGTTTAAAAATAAAACCAGAAAAAATTTCAAAAGATATTTATAAATAATCATTAATTTTAACAGACTTTTTTTCACTAGTATGGGAGTATTATTTTCACCATGATTTAACAATGTGCGAGACATCCATACACACCAAACACAAAGAAATTAATATTCCCACACTTTTTTTTGTGCGAAACAAGTTGTCATCTTTGTAAATAAGTACTTTAATTTAAGGTTCATTTGCAAACTAACCTTAACAAATATACCAAATTATAAAAAAAATATATTTACAGAGAACAAATAATACCTGTTGAGATTATATTTAAAAATAGTATTCATTATGTAAGATTAAATACTTCTTCTATAAGGAATTACTAACAGCCTGTATTATTCACTAAGCATCATATACATATATTTTTATGACTTGGCAAACTCATATGTCATTTAATTTTGGAATAATTTTATTCCTTGCTTCCTTATTTCTGTCACTCCAAGATTCTCAACCTTGCTGATCTCTTTGTACGCAAAGAAACGTGAATTTTGTTCTAAGTGTTATTGTAAAAGATTTAAAACTACTATCTCTGCCAAACTTACATCATTCTTTTTAAACCCAGTGACAAGTATTTCCAACATTCAAAAACCCAGAACTTGTGTCAGTAGTAAGAATCTCTAGAATATGTTCTATACCGAATCACATTCACCGGAGTTATTGCACGAGGTGTCTCGCTAATTATAGGAACCCGAAAATATTTTGCTGTAGAAGACCAGCCAAAAACGTAAAACAAGCTAGAGGTAATGGCACCAAATTGGTGAAAATTTAAAGTTGACCAAACATACAAAATTAATATCTTTAAAAAAAAAACAACTTACAAATGCTACACTTTTCCACATTTTGTACTTCAACATGATTTTTTTTTCATACAATTTCGATCATACACAAACATGTTATAAACTATAATCCTGAAAAAATTTTTTAATTAAAACGTTTTGTTAGACACTTTTTTTTTTATTTGGGAAACGTATTATTTTTTTCATGCAATCAAAAGTATTGCTCATCAAACGTTAGGAGCAGTGTAGTAAGAACAATGAATATTGTTAACAAATTATACATTATTTTCCCAACATTTTCAAATATAATAAAAAATCTATTAACAACTACTCCACCAGTAGGCTCTACGCTTGCCTATGATTGGCTAACTAAGTGGCACAGATCGTATTAAACAACCGGAGCTTTATTATTATTTATCATCACCAAAAACAACGAGCTAACAAAAAGTGATAAACACATACATACAGTGCTATAAACATGTTTATTCACCCATTTAGTGTTTATTAAAAACATAACTTATTTTACACCACATTTTTAGGTGCTACTAATTTAAAAACATTAAATAACAAAACATTACTAGTGTCCAAGTTCTGTCAAAAGAAAAACAACAAAAGAGCTAAAGCCCATATTTCCTCATATTCCCAATCCCAGCAATCAGTTTTGTTAAAAACCTGCTTAGTGATTTTCATATCCCTTTAAATCCCAGCTAAAATTGTAACAGATAGAACCAAAACACGGTTCCAACTGTTTACGGTCCGACTCGTCCACTCACGACTGCAGCAAATTTTTCTCCTCTGTGTAGTCACTAGAAGCGCTGCTGGCCTGTCTAGAAATAGCTGGATTGGCTTCGCTCTGAACAGCAGTAACTGCTGGTGTAGACTCAGCCGCTGCGGGTTCTGCTGGAGGATTGGCTGACTCCTGTTCATTATTTGTCTCGTGTATGGACTGGTTAGAAAGTAATAATAATAAAATATTTTTCTAATACTGGGAGTATTCTCACAGAATTTTATCAATCATTTTCCCCAGTGTCCTTATATTTATTGTGTAAACTACTAGACATGTCAATTAAGTCGACAGGATAAATAAACATCATTAAATTTACTGTAGAATCAACCTGATTGAACTTCAGCACACGTGTTGATCAAAAAGCCACTTTTGCACAAAACTTGCTGTAGCCATCGACTCTAATTAAATCTAGAAATAATTCCGACAAACAATTAAGTTACATTCAACTACGTCGTCTTCCACGTTTCTAAATTTTATCACGTTATCAAAAAATAAAGTACACCTACATGGATAGATACATACATACAGCAGTTATAACTAGACTAGTAAACTACCTATGATGTGATATACATATGTACAACTAACAATAACTATATGGATAAGTAGAAAGAAACTTATACAACCAGAGATGTAATTCAACAAATGATAAATGCAGTTTTCATGCATTGAAGAATCAAATCTCTAAATAGATGGAAACAAGTGAAGCAGAAATGAAAGATCTCAAGTTAGTTCTAAGAATAAATTACCTTGTAACCACTCCAGATTTGGCAAAATTCCTTTCTTGCCCATGCCAGTAGTAGAGGAGGAATCAGAGTAATGGGAACTAGGTACAGCAATGCGGGCTGTGGCGTCATCATCAAATACAGACCCACAAAGGTAATGATTAGGCCAAGACCATATGCTAAGAAAAAAAAAGTAGGATTATTACTGCATCAGAATACAATTACAAAGTCCAAACTGTGCTCATAGCATCTTTCCTGAGTACAAACTGCATTTAGAGTATACTTCCTGAGCCCAAACAGTGGTTAGGGTTTGTTTCCTGAGCCCAAACAGTGGTTATGGAATGTTTACTGAATCAAACCGTGTTTAGGGTATGTTTACTGAATCAAACCGTGTTTAGGGTATGTTTACTGAATCAAACCGTGTTTAGGGTATGTTTACTGAATCAAACCGTGTTTAGGGTATGTTTACTGAATCAAACTGTGTTTAGGGAGTACATTTACTGAATCAAACTGTGTTTAGGGTATGTTTACTGAATCAAACTGTGTTTAGGGTATGTTTCCTGAATCAAACTGTGTTTAGAGTACATTTACTGAATCAAACTGTGTTTAGGGTATGTTTACTGAATCAAACTGTGTTTTGGATATGTTTTCTGAGTCCAAACTGTGAATATTATTTATTTTTTTTAGTCCACACTCTGCTTACGGAGTGTTTTCCGACACAAGACTGTGCTAATGTTATGTTTTCTGTGTCCAAACTGTGCCTACAGTATGTTTCTACTCTTCATCTTAACCAGCATTCTACAATTAATAACTGCTCAATCATTATTACATAAAATGACATTATAATAAAATGAGAACTTAAAAGAAGTTTTATCTGTATGATAAGAATCCGTGTCTGTGTGTCACGTAACGTAACTACTCTTAAACCACTGGTCACATCAACTCCTAATTGGTACCAAACAAATAATCTTGGCCCCCGAGGTTTGCACAAAGGTAAAAATTTCCACCACACACACCCCTTGGGGAACCTGAGGATTTTCTGAAAAACCTCTTTTCCTAAACTACTGGACTCATCAACTTCTAAGTGAAACCAAATGAATCGTCTCAGCCCCGAGGCTTGCACAAAGGTAAAACTTGTCTGTCAAATTTGGCTTTGATTTACATTAGAGCATGTAAATAAGTAGGCCTACTAATTACCATTCGTAACTTGGTTAAAGAAATTAAATTTGCATTATAGCGGCTATGTAAATGTGGGTCATAAGCCCACAGGTTTGTTAGCTTATGTTATCAAGTTTCTTTTTTACAAATGTCTGAAGGAAACTGCATTGACACACACACACAAAAAGAGTTTAACCAGCATGAAACTTGCATAGGATACACAATGATGTCAGGAATCTATGAAAGAAGTAATAGACATCCATGGAAAATATTTACCAATGTTATATTTCTTTTTAAGTCTACTAATGATGATGTGTTTACGTACATATGGTTGTTGTGATGAAATACACCCTTCTGTTCCCAACCAACAAATCATATCCATGACAGTATGAAACCAGGAGTCCTGCAAAATACAAAATGTTCAGTTACCTCTACTTACAAACAGTAGTTGAAATAGTTACCTCTACTTACAAACAGTAGTTGAAATAGTTACCTCTACTTACAAACAGTAGTTGAAACGCATAAATATTTATCCACAAAAGTTAGAAGTTGAAATTAACATCAGAAGGCAACGACTGAATTTATTACGGCATAACTTCTAATAATTTAATATCTAACTAATGTACAATATCAGATAACTATTTATTTAGGAACTGTTATAACTTTCACGATAATTTACATTTTAGAGGCCATCAAACCATAGTCTTAACATCATCCTTGAAGCCTGAAAAGCATTGTATAAAGTTTCTAAAAGTTATATTGAGTTAAACCTGAAAATCTTTAACTAATGATGAAACAAAGGTGAAAAAGGATGACAACTGCCTTAAACAGGTATTAGAACTTTACTGAAGAAGGGATTTTAATACAGCAGCGACAACAATCTGGGATCCAAAGATGGAAGACTTCTGAAATTTTGTCATTTTAGATTTCTTTATTGAAATTTCTTTTTGGTAATGTTCACCTACCTGTGTAAGATAACTGGCACCCATTTTTCACCTTTGTTTCATCTGAAAATCTTTATCTGTAAATTACTAGACCTTAAATGAGATTGTTGCAATACTTTTTAATATTTGCATACAGTGTATATAATTGATAATCTGCTAACTCATAAAATTCAGATTAAATCTAGCAATAAGTCAAACAAAATCTTATGATTTACTGTTAGTTAGCTAACAACTGCTTTAAGACACATCAATAAAAGGTAAGGCTGACATATTGAGGGATAAGATTCTTCAACCTATTAATTATTAAACTCATAAAGAACATGGGATTATTAACAAAATAAAATACACAGAAATTTTCTACATGTTGCTAGAGGATTTATATGGTACAAATTTTCAACTCCAGTGTTGACGTAATGTTTGGTAGCATAGGTCTAACTAAACTGTTCTCAGTCTAGGGCAAATTTAAAAAGATTAAATTCAAAAAATAACATTATAATCATCGAATTTTCTAAGAGACAGATATTGTAAGAAAAACTTTAGAATGGTATAGTCCACAAAATTTAGGGTTAAGATGATACTGATTTTCAAACTTACAAGACATCTAAGTGTCTTACCAACATTATAATGCCTTGTCTAAACAGCCCATAATCCGTAAAGAACTCAAACAAATTCGTAAACAATAATTTCAGCTGTAACTATCTCTAATAACTGCACTATGGTTAGTTTTAAAGTTATTTAACTGTCTACAAAATGTCCTGTTCAAAAGGCAAGAATTTCATAATTAACCAACAAAAACTATCTCCAACTTAACACCAATATACCTATAGAACACTTCAAACTCCTAAACATTTATCTGAAATCCAGCTACTTCCCAACATCTGATACAGCTCCTATGGGACCATCCTCCCTGTCACCAATTATTGCAGAAATTGATTATGAACAACTGTAGGAAATGACTATACAAAGATTGCTACTTTGGAGCAGATAAGTTTTTCATTTTATGGGTCCTTTCATCTGGACTGTCTTCATGATTCTTTCATCATCAGACAAACTTACTCATTTCACTTCTGGAATTGAAACCAATAGTTCTTTACCATTCCTGGTGATCGAAAATGAATCTCAAAGAAAATTCAAAACAGAAATCTATAGCTGGAATATACATTTTTAAAATACTTAATACACTTTAACATAAACTTAAATCAGAAGTCAAACTGCCAATTCAAGTCAAAATAAGACAGTACAAAACACTAACCTACAGAGCCATCAACATCTATTGAAAACAAGACCTAGCACGAAAGAAATAGTTTTTTTTTTCAAGAAATGTTTGAGGAGAATATTTATCCAAAGAAATTAAGCAAAGACAAAATAAAATTCATTCTCAAAAACATTTCTCGACTTACAGACAAAGATAAAACAACTACCTTACCATATGTACCAAATACTGGGAAGAAATAAGTCATGTGCTTAAAAAATATATCATTACATCTCCCTACTAATCTGAAAAACATTCTTACCTGTGTCAAGATAACCCAAAAATGTGATTCTTGACATTACGACTAAAACATTACAAAATTAAATCATCTAATAAGAGGGAAAAAACATACTTCACAGAACACAATAAAAACTGTCCCATGTTTTTCACCACTGAAACTCAAAAAACCATAGTATATCTATTAAAAACACAGTTATTTTAAACAAAGAACTAAACATAAACAAACAAAAAAACCCAAAACAACCCTACTCTGAACCAACACCCTGGGGGTGCCAAGAAAGCTCTTCTAAGTCTTGCAACAGTATCCGGTCATGTGACCTCTTTGTTATATATATATATATATATATATCTGTGTCAGTGTAAACTACTTGTACCTGATGATGACAAGACCTTGTCGAAACGTTGTACATTTGCTGTTCTGTTAAACTTATATTAAAGTTTTTCTTCATTACCCATTCAAGTCGTCTCCAAGCATTACATACTTATTCAGTTAATAACAAATAACTTATTCATTTAGATTATCAAACTGCTAATATACTGCCATCTGTATTATTTTTATACACTTAATATAAGTTAATTTAATTCTATGCTTTTTAAATAAGGCTTCAAATATATATATAACCATTTTCTCTGACCTAGATATAAGGATTATGACACTTGGTGCACCTAGAAACATAATATTCAGAGAAACTAAGCAGCTTGTTATCAAAATGTTATCAGAAATTGTAAAACAGTTACATTGGCAATAGAGAAATATGCTAGAGAAAACCACCACATTCTCAACTTTAAGAATATAAACATCATGAACAGGTAGAGGAGAGAAAAAAATTTGAGAGGCCATGTATGTGGACTCTCGGTGGGATATATCAAGATAACGTCCATCCAGTGAACATCTCTCTTGCTTCCTTTATTCAAAAAATAATAATGAAGTCTTCAAAAGATAATTCGCATACATATTTAGCAAATGACAAAAAAACAGTAAAAATAATAGAGAGATCTTAACTCTGAATTTTGGAGAACTCCACCTTTTTATAAGTTGTATAATCTTGTAGAACATTCATTGCTTATAAAGTAATTTCTTCAAACAAATAAATCACACCACTTGTTATCTTTTATATTTCTTCTAGGTTGATGACAACAGTCTAACCCTAATTTTACTAAATTGTACCTGACGAAGACTCTGGCACTGGAGTTAAAAGCTTGCACCAAATAAACACTAAAACAGTGTGTGGAGAAAGATCCGTGCATTTATTCAATTTGTCAGTAGAATCGAAGTGGGTAATGTTTTATCTTTGTCCAACATTTGTATTATCGTATCATGTTAGAACTTCTAGTCATAAAAAAACATTAAAAAAAGGGAAAAAGAAGTTTTAAGTTAAAATTGTTAAATTTCATTCACGATGTAGTATGTTAAACTTGGCCGATGTAATGTATAACGTACAAAAAAACTACACACTTGTCAGTGACCGAGTTTTATCAATATTTTAAACTACGCACTTGTCAGTGACCGAGTTTTATCAATATTTTAAACTACACACTTGTCAGTGACTGAGTTTTATCAATATTTTAAACTAGCACTTGTCAGTGACTGAGTTTTATCAATATTTTAAACTATGTACTTGTCAGTGACCGAGTTTTATCAATATTTTAAACTATGTACTTGTCAGTGACCGAGTTTTATCAATATTTTAAACAATGCACTTGTCAGCGACCGAGTTTTATCAATATTTTAAACTACGCACTTGTCAGTGACAGAGTTTTATTAATATTTTAAACTACACACTTGTCATTGACTGAGTTTTATCTATTTTAAACTACACACTTGTCAGTGACTGAGTTTTATCAATATTTTAAACTACACCCTTGTCAGTGATTGATTTTTATCAATATTTTAGATTTAGGGCCCAGTATTTCACAGTAGTAGTTTCACTGGCATTTAACAAGTAATGTAGGATATTTGGAATCTGAGTGATTTAACTAGTAGAAAGCGTTCTCACCAGGAACAAGGATGTCACCAAATCCTAGCAAAGAATACTGTTGATAACACACTGACACTGGATCAAAGCTGAAATGAGGCACACGTAGTACCATGGGAAGCTGAAAAACATCGGGTAAGAGAGTAAATGAACAAAGTTAGTGAAAACACTTATAAATAAACAGACAATGCTGTCCACTAATAATGTATATTATGACATGAAAGTGAGGTCCTCTTCCACAATGTCAACTGTTTTCAGGAGTGTTGTGTTTACATAGACACCTGCATCTAGCTGCTTAAATCATGATGCAAGGCTTGTGACTCAAATATGAGCAAACATGAGAGAGAGAGAAAAAAACTTGCTCATATATTTTAATAACAGAGAACAACGTGGAAGTGAAAAACTCTTAATAACAAACAACGTGGGAGAGAAAACCTCACTCGTACGTCTTAATAACTATAACATGGAAAATATAACCTGGCTTGTCTTAACAACAACGTGTGAGAGAAAACCTTGCTCATATGTCTCAACAACTACAAAGGAGAAAAAAAATGTCCATTTTATATCTTAAGAGCAAATGACAACGTGGTAAAGTTACCCTCTGTTATACATCTTAAGAACAAATGATAATGTGAGAATGTAACCCTCCATCTTATGTTTTAACAGCAAATGACAACATGGTAAAGTTACCCTACGTTTTATGTCTTAATAGCAAATGACAACATGGTAAAGTTACCCTACGTTTTATGTCTTAATAGCAAATGACAACATGGTAAAGTTACCCTCTGTTTTATGTCTTAACAGCAAATGACAACATGGTAAAGTTACCCTACGTTTTATGTCTTAATAGCAAATGACAACATGGTAAAGTTACCCTACGTTTTATGTCTTAACAGCAAATGACAACATGGTAAAGTTACCCTACGTTTTA